AAAATCCTGAACACTAACTAGAAATTCACAAAATTTTTATTGAAATAAAGAATCTTGTTTAGTGGACCTTTGGTAATTTAAGACCTTTAGAAACTGTATTTAAGGATTATTTGTCATTTTTAAGGATTTTTAAGGCCTTAAATTTTGAAAAGCAAATTTAAGACTTTTTAAGGATCCGCAGATACCCTGTGAAGAGATAAAAGTTGGACAATGGCTTCGAGCCTTGAATCAAAACTGAAAAGAAAAATACTGAAAAGGAAAATGTTTCAGATATATCATAGATTGGACGTGACTAGAAACACATTACTGTGGCCTCATAGACAATGGCACCCCAAAGGAGTGGCCAGGGGTGGCCATGGCCACCCCTAGAAAATTTCTGGTCCCCCCATGAAAAGCCAGCGTTAATAAATCATATGAATCTTCACTCATATCATAAATTCATCTTATTTACTCAAGACATAAATTTAAAATAAATGTAAAACCCAACAGAAAGAATATATAATTAATTAGTAAAGAAAAAATCTGAACTATACATATATATATATATATATATATATATATATATATATATATATATATATACATATATATAATATAATAATATATATATAATAATTAAAAAAAGATTTTTATCTCCATATTTTTTATGAACACAGCAACATGTGAATTAAATCAAAAAATACATTTCAAAATAAAATTTGAAATGTATTTTTCTGAAATGTTTGTGTTTGTACAATGTGAGTTAAAGGGGCATTATGGAAGTTTGACAGTCAAAACATGTATAGAAATAATCAATTTCTTCTTCATACATTTTCCTGCAATGCCCTGGTCCTGTAGAATGAGCCCTGGCATTTTTACTGTGATTGCCTGTTTTTCTGTAAAATCACATAAAAAGAGAGTTGCTTGGGCCGAGCAGGCTGCTTCATGCGCGTTCACGCTCAGGCATCGCCCGTAGCATTTGCTATCCGTAGCTTTAGCAGCAGAGAGAGAGGTAGTGCCAACTCAGCGACTTTGTCGCTGTTCCTAACGCCTAGTGATGAACCTAGCTACATTTCTGAGGACCCTTAGCTACTTTCTTCTAAATATTTCCTGCAAATTAGCAACAAAATAGCCATTTTCGCTCCGAACCGTTCTCCGAACATTGTTTCAGCTGTCATCAAGGATATAAATATTAAAGATACAAAAGACATTACTGGTGCTTTAGCTCATCTAAGTAAACGATGGACTCTCGTGCAGGGAGACCTGGATTCCAATTCTCGATGTGAACATAGTTTGTTTAGAGTTTATTTTTTACATTAATCGTAAGATGCCTACATTTTAATTTGAGACTTGCCGTACGGCATTGAATTCACAGATAAAAAAGATGTGGGTTCAACTTTCATTTTGGAACAATATTTCAAGCAAGGGAAGGGAATGATCTGAGCATGCAGGAGGACTGACCCATCATAAACCTTTGTCGGCTGTGCTGAAGAGAAAGGTACAGAACTAAATTATTTAATTAATTAGCTGCGCGTTCTCCTGTCCTCTGTCCTCCGGGTCACACACACACACACACACACACACATACACACAAGGGACTGTCTCAGCTGTTATTTTCGTTAAGGAGTGTGCACGTACAGCATGCGCTCCTCGTGCACGAGCCTACTATTGAAGCTGCTGTTACGCTTTTGGCCTGAGGGGGCAATCGCGAGCATAAAAATTCTAAACTCCGTAAAGTCCCTTTAAGTGTTTTGGATACATGCGGTTTTTAAAATCAAAACGAATAAAGGAGCAATGCATCGCCACAGGTTCAGCTCTCCCAGAGTTACCACAAGGACCAATTCGGTGTGCCACCCCAAATTATTTTTGGGCCCCATCTGAAAATCACAAATCAGAAAAAGCTTTATTGCAAGCGCTCCAGCGAACCAGAGCATAGGAACTTGACTCCGCAGCACAGCCTGACCAAGGTTACACACACACGTAGACAGAACAGATACAGGCAGACCACGAGAGCAGCCATAACGGCGCCCTTATCAAAATTTTCTGGAGGCGCCCCTGCTCATACAGTCATGCAGAAGGAAACTTTACTCTATTCTGTATTCTAGATTACAAGTACAACATGTGAAGTGCACTCCTAAAAGTCCTAAAAAGTCCTAAAAAGTCTTAAAATTAATTCTGGATCAATATCAACAGGAAATAAAATGAAAAATGGTGACTTCTGCAGTCAGACTGCAAATCAAACAGATTTTTATTTTGTTTTCTGTTCTTTCACAAAAACCTAAGCTCAAATATCAGTTGAGAACTGCTGGGATCACTCATTTATTCAAGGAACGTCATCATTTTAATGTGAAAGACAGAAAATTCCAACATACATTTCCAGATAAGGTCAAATCAGCCAACAATGGCAAAGATGAGAAAGAATAAAACTAATCTAATAAAATGGCTGATTTACCATTAAAATTTCATTTTTTCCCTCCAACATTAAGGTTAACACTTCTGAGTAAAATAAACCATAATTATGCAAAGAGAGTAGAAACCAAAAATTATATCTCAAGGGAATCTGTGTTGAGTCCAGGCAAACTGAGACCAGCCTCAACATTCAGAGCAATTTTCCAGTTATTCCCGTATGAGATGTGGACTGCAGAAGGTGTGTGAAGGTAGGTGGAAATGCTGGGAACGTTGAACACAAAACATCTGACTAAAGAACACCTGGAGAGTCAGCAGGTGTGTGAAACTTAAGTCAGATTTAACTTGCAAAAAATACGGATGATTTCATTGGTTACAACTAAAAATGTTGGCTATTATTGGTCTAACATTAATATCGGCCGATTCACGTGGATAAAATAGTTGGTACCCTTCGGTTAGTGAAAGGAAAACCCACAGTGGTCACAGAAATAACTTCAATCTGCAAGGGCTGCATGGTGGTGCAGTTGTTAGCACTGTTGCCTCGCAGCACGAAGGTTGCAGGTTCGAAACTTGGCTGCGGCCTTTCTGCGTGGAGTTGCATGTTCTCCCCATGCATGTGTGGGTTTCCTCCGGGTACTCCGGTTTCCCCCACAGATCACAACATGCCCTATAGGTTATAAATTGTAAGTCGCTTTGGATAAAAGCGTCTGCTAAATAAATAAACATAAACATAAACACATCTGACAAAAGTTATAATAAATAAAAATTCTATGAAATTTAACCAATAAAAGTCAGACATTGATTTTCAGCCATGCTTCAACTTAATTATTTTACAAATAATTAATTGTTGAAGGATACCAAACACTGTCTAATTCTGGATGACTTTGAATAAATCAATCAATCAATAAATAAATCCATTCACCTGCGTATACGAACTTAGACTAATCACTCTATCGTTAGTATTAAAACCACATGAAATACAGTCATTCAAGTTGACATTACAAAGTTAGCATTTTAAATATTTCTGTACAATAATCATGTAAACAACTGTAAAACAGACCTGCAGCCATTGCTACCAACTGCGAGGTGAAGCCCGACCCAGCTGGCTCTTCGGCATCATAGACTTAGCCAAACAACGTATAAATAACTGCTTTATTTCCTTCAATGTTTCTCGTAACGAGTTCACCCACAAAACTGATAGATGGACATCATATTTGTCGTAAAGTGGGAAACTTCGGGTTTGCTAACCCTAGCGTTCTGGTGCCCTGTAAATAGATCGTTACGGTCGCGTTGGAGGTGACCACGTAGATTAGTCCCGGTTCTACTTGTGGTTTCCACAAGTGTTCAGCATGTCTGCAAAGCACCTGCGTTTGTTGAACGTTATCTCTCTTGGAACCAAAACGTCTAAACCGTGCCGTTGTTTTAAACACGAGCTCCTAGTCGCTAACATTTCAGGCACATGTCTTGCCCTCAGCGCACGTCGCTAACTTAGGTGTTTGCTAGCTAGCCATCCTAATGAGTGCCGTCTGCCGAGAAGGGGAGGTTTAGATAAGAACCCACCTGATTGGCCAAATGCATGAAGGGCTCTTTCTGATTGGCTAAGACAAACGTCTGAGCATTCATCACTGTTCCTTCTGTCCTTCGCAACAGGCCAACGCTGACATCACAGTGAATATAAATGTACGATGTATGTGCAGCACTAGATGTGCCTGACGTTAAATCAGCTTAACAAAGCAGGTTTATCGTCCGATATATAAAAAGGGTCAAAATCGGGTCGATTTATCAGTCTTCCCCCGCTTCCTACACCAACTTTCTACATCTCTACGCGTCATCCACTTACTCAGCAGACCAGACTCTACTAGTCGATCCTCCAGTGAAACATAAGACTTCTTTTGTTTTTTTGCGTCTAAACGATGGAAGGAACACGCGGGATGCTCATTCTAGGGATTTTTTAAATGGATTAATCTGGATTTTATTCTCTAGAGTTCTCACATGGTGTCAAGTGAGGATTATTTTTCCTTGCTCCATCTCGTGATTATTTGGACATGTTTTTACTGACAGGGTTGCATAGTTTCTGGAGTATTTAAATGATTACACGATGTGGTACATCTTCTGGTGTAGGAAGGTGTTTTCTAAATAAAGCTGATGATTTAACTTAAGAAGGGGGATAATTTCCTTTCGTTTTTTTCACTGACTGAAACATTTGTTTTGACAAATGTTTTCTGTTGCTGATCAGAAAACAGGAGGTATGAACCTGAAGGGGCATCCCCCTCCACCACAGCAGTGGTAGTGGATCTGCAGCCACTGCACAACAGCCCTGTAGCAGGTAGACAACAAAGCAGCAGCCTGGACCCCTGCATCTCTCCAGGATTACATCACTTCTCTGGTCCTTTAGGCTGGGGCAGGTTAACCAGTGGAGTGGCACATTAACTACCCCCCCCCCCCCCCCCCCCCAGGGCAGCTGGGAGGCTCTGGGACAAGTTTAAACCTAGTGATGAATACATGAATACGTATCCTATCATGTTGTAATAATCAGAGCGCACAAAGTGTCAACAGTAGGGATGCTAATGATGTTCACACGCGCACCAGCACACCTGCACTACACCTTTACTCACCTTGGTGAGCTGTGCGATCTTCTTGCTCATCTTCAGATGCAGGTCCTGAGTGTATTCTAGCGTTACGCCTCCGTCATAAAACATGTTGGCCGTTGGACAGGCAGCGCTGTGTTTGGCGTTGCTGGTACCGGAGGAGGAGGAGGAGGAGGAGGTGTACGGAGGCTGCCAGCCCGCTCCAGTCGCCATTTTCCCGGGAATAAACCCAAACAACAGCAGGAGCGAGGAGGAGCAGGATGGAGCTGGAGCTGCTACGTGCTCCGTCCTCCCATCGCTGCGTCCCTCTCTGCTCAATCTTCACTCTGAGACGAGGCGAGGAGCTGGGGCAGGCAGCGGAGCCGCGGCGCGCGACACCGCATCCTCAGCGGGTACGAGCCGAGGGGACGCGCACCAGATGCTCGTTCAGTGGCGCGCGCTCAAATTCAAATGGTGCAGCGTCTATCTATCTATCTATCTATCTATCTATCTATCTATCTATCTATCTGTCTGTCTGTCTGTCTGTCTGTCTGTCTGTCTGTCTGTCGTTCTGTCTGTCTGTCGTTCTGTCTGTCTGTCTGTCATTCTGTCTGTCTGTAGCTGACATAAAAACATTGATTGATTCATTTTTTACAAACATTAATAAAAAAGCCAAATTAAAAGAATGTATTTATTTATTTATTTATTCTACCAGGAAGATCCCACTAAGATTAAAACCCTAATTTTGAAGGGAGTCCTGGCCAAGAGGCAGCAAACTTTAATTAATTTTTTTGTTACACAGACATGTTATAGTTACAGCACAGGGAATCCGTCTCAAGGGCTCTCAGTCTGGTTTTAAATGTTTTCAGCGAGAAAACTTCAGTTAATTTCCAGCTGTGAAAGTGAAAAGAGCCACAGGCTGCAGTCTCTTATTTTTCTCCTTGCACACCTCTCTTTGAGTAAAGATTTAGGTGTGTGTGTGTGTGTGTGTGTGTGTGTGTGTGTGTGTGTGTGTGTGTGTGTGTGTGTGTGTGTGTGTGTGTGTGTGTGTGTGTGTGTGTGTGTGTGTGTGTGTGTGTGTGTGTGTGAAAACAAAGGCAGTAAAACTTTGATCATGCACTGACCTCTACTGGTCCAACTGCTGCAGTGCAGGACATTTTCAGCCTCCCAATAAAACTCTCCTTTAATTAGCTACACAAATACACCAGTAACGCGTGATCAGAACCTGCGTGGGTGCTATTTGGTTTTAATTCCTAAGGCCTTTTCCTTAAACATTTTCAGATCTGGAAATGCTGATTTCCCAACAGATGGTTAGAGTTGTTGTTGGAGAACAAACCAGTAACAACAGCATCAATATGGCCGCCAGGAGATTGGGTAGTTGCTGCGAGCAGCTATCTGGGATAATAGTCCTGCCAAAATACTAGAAGAATGCAAAGAAAAAAGCCTTTGCAGAAACTACAGTGAAATAATAGTGAAATAATTTTAGGACACATCCTGACTGCTTGTTTGTTTGTCTGAATTAGTCTATGTTTAGCCAAACTGAGGTTGTTCAGTGCACTCTACAACAAGAAAAAAGCAAAGATGACTTTCTTCTTTTGTAAGTGTTCAACTGAATGAGGCATTGGGGGGGGGGGGGGATAATGAAATGAACTAATTGTATAAAATAATCCTTTTAATGTTTAGATGTTATAAATGAACATGTGTAACTTTTTACTCTACAGTAAGATGGACTTGAGTAAATAAAGTGCATGAAGGGGATGAGACTGTGTCATTGGCACCTCATTTCCTGTAGGTGTCGCTGTTTCCTCACTGATCCAACCGACCTCGCTGCAGCGTGCTCATGGATTATTCAGCCAAAGAGCTGGAGTCCTTCTTTTGTTGTGACCCAGTAGAAGTCAACTTTCCCTTCCACTGCATCCTCGCACCACCAAGCCCTCGCTTTCCATAGTACACTTGCAGCAGCTGACCTTTAACCCCCAGATGCTCTTATCTCCTCCTGCATCTCAGTGAGGGATGCAGGTGGGTTCATTCAGCACCCAGGTCTGCCTTGTCACCAGCAAAGACCTTCTGTGTGTATTAAAGAGTAATAATGATTCATATTTACCAGTTGCTTATATTTTAATTCACACCTGTAGCGGGCACAGCAACTGGAACTGTTGAGAAGGTTCTCTTAGACTGCTGCAGGAGCACCAGACCTGTAGGGCTGCTGCAGGAACACCAGACGTGTAGGACTGCTGCAGGAACACCAGAGCCGTTAGACTGCTGCAGGAACACCAGACCTGTAGGACTGCTGCAGGAACACCAGACCTGTTAGACTGCTGCAGGAACACCAGACCTGTAGGACTGCTGCAGGAACACCAGACCTGTAGGACTGCTGCAGGAACACCAGACGTGTAGGACTGCTGCAGGAACACCAGAGCCGTTAGACTGCTGAAGGAACACCAGACCTGTAGGACTGCTGCAGGAACACCAGACGTGTAGGACTGCTGCAGGAACACCAGAGCCGTTGGGAATCCTGCTGCCAAAGTGCAAAAAGTGTGAAAACTTAACAACGTTAATGCTCCAAGAACTCTGCTGACTTTGGAAAACTCCACTTTATGGAGGACATCCACGTCGACTAGTGATGTCTAATAAAGAAGACTAGAAGGAACTGTTTTTACCCTTCATCTGTACTTTCACTTAATTAAAACATGAAGTACTTCTTCCACCTCTGTGTAATTGTTTTGTGTGTCTTCCTGTTGTAACATGTTTGGGCTCATGTTTGGGCTTTCTGCTCCTAGCATCTAGACAGGATGCCTCCTGGATGCCTCCCTGGTGAGGTTTTCCGGGCACGTCCAACTGGGAGGGGACCTAAGACCCAGGACACGCTGGAGGGACTACGTCTCTCACCTGGACAGGGAACACTTTAGGATTCCCCAGAAGAACTGGCCTAAGTGGCTGGGGAGAGGGAAGTCTGTGCGCCCCTGTTTAGGTTTCAGCCCCCACGACCCAATCCCATATAAGTGGATGAAAAGAGATGGATGAATGGATGAAAAATGAGATAATAATGAATAAGACACCTTGTTGTTATCTTTGACCAGGACATGTCATTCAAAGCCCACGTTAAACATGTTTGTAGGATTTCCTTTTTCCACCTTCGGAATATTGCTAAGATTAGAAGCATCCTTTCCAGAAGTGATGCTGAAAAACTAGTTCATGCATTTATTACATCAAGACTGGATTACTGTAATTCATTACTCTCAGGAAGTCCACAGAATGATGTTAAAAGTCTTCAGCTTGTCCAAAATGCTGCAGCTGGAGTTCTGATGATAATTAAAAAGATAGATCATATCTCTCCTGTCTTAGCTTCCCTACATTGGCTACCTGTTAAATTCAGAATAGATGTTAAGATCCTTCTTCTCACATATAAAGCTCTTAATAATCAAGCTCCATCATACATCAGTGATCTGATTGTTCCATACGTTCCTAACCGAGCACTTCGCTCTCAGACTGCAGGTTTACTGGTGGCTCCCAGAATATCTAAAACAGGATGGGAGGCAGATCTTTTAGTTATCAGGCTCCTCTCTTGTGGAACCAGCTCCCAGCTTTAGTCCGTGAGGCAGACACCTTGTCTACTTTTAAGAATAGGCTTAAAACATTTTTATTTGATAGGGCCTATGGTTAAAATCTGATGTTAGCCTAGATCCAGAGAAGTGGGGGAGTAGAGGGAGGTGGAGTGTACAGTCGGTAAAGACGGCTCTCCCTTGCCCTGCCTCCAACATGCCTCCATCTAAAAGGCTAGGTTTCCCAGAGTTATCTCTGTAGTTATGCTGCTACAGGCTTAGACTGCTGGAGGATATACTGACCACTTTCCACGCTCTACTGCTTTCTTCTATAATCTGCTTTTTAACTGTATTGTTTCCTTCTATTTCAGCTGTTAACTTTATTTTCTCTGTAAGTGTTTTTCTCCCCAGAAGAAGCTACAATGATGTTCTGCTGAGCTGTGGTGGTCTCATGGAGGGGGCCATCGTCTAGCACACTGCTGCTAACCACTTAAATATTCTCCCTCTCCTGATAATAACATTTTACTCTCTTTGACATTGAATGTGCTACTACTAGTTTACCCGTTTAATTATAGATTCACAAGGATAAATACAATAAAGTTTATCTCTCACCAAATAGAATATTTACTAAGAAATCACAATGTAACCATAGAAACATTACTAATGATCCGTCCATCATTATTCATCATCCATTCATTAATCCATCAATCTATTCATTCATTCATCCATAAGTATGCATCATCCATCCATGTCTTTGTTTTTAGGATTTTTATTGAATTATTCATTTATTTCTTGAAGTGATAAATTCAGCAGCTCCGCGTGAGCACTGACAGAGAGGCTGGAATATTATTTAAGTAATGGCCCTGAAACGGGAAAATGTTCCGGGCTTAATGGGAATTCTATATATATAAATAAAGACATCAAGGGGGGGGGGGGGGGTGCTTTTATGTGAGGAGAGAGAATGTGTGTGTGTGTGTGTGTGTGTGTGTGTCGAGAGAGAGTTTGGAGTGCAGCACACCCATGCGTAAATGTGACCATCCTCTCCGTGTTCCCTCCATCCCTCCCATCCCGCCTTCACCCTCCAGCGGATCCTCTTCACCTCTAACGCCCGGATCACCTGCGCGGTGGTCGGGGGCCACTTTTGGACCGTGGAGTCCCGCTTGTCTCGGCTCGGCGCCCTCCTCCAGGGCTTAGGGGGAGCGTCGGGGAACTCCTCCAGGTTCCTGCCGGGCTTCGTGTCCACCTCCGGGGAGAGTCATGGCGCGGAGCGGCGGGAGCGACGCGGCTCGACGCGCTCCCGGATGCCGGTGATGCGGGGTCTGATTGCGCCTCAGAACACCTTCCTGGACACCATTGCAACTCGGTTCGATGGAACCCGTGAGTGATTTTTTTAAATTGTTTTGGTGCGCAACAGTTCCAGGTAAGTCTGGACAGAAACACACAGGTGTTGGGCTGAAATATGCTGACTGGTGGAATCCTGCAGGAGGTTTAGGAGGTTAAACGGGACCTAAATCAAATATAGAACCAACATGCATCCTTAAGGTGCATCTCATTATGTTTAGGAGCATTTAAATGTGAAGTGGTGCAGAAATGGACAGACAACAGCAGAAAAAAAACATGAGAACCAATCAGTCCTGCAGGGTTGGGTTACGCTGCTCAAAGCAGAATTCATGAATGAACGGATAAACTCTGTAAGGATTGTATTTAGAGATGAACCTATTCTGGGTTAGACTGATACCGATTCAGCTGGCTTTGATCAAGCCTCAAATGATTACAGTCATCAAAATGTAATATTTTTATCTCTGATGGTTGAAAATGGCGATTAAACGAATAAGCCTTTTGACTGGGAAATGGGTCCGATATTTCTCCATGCTGATTCACAGATTAACCCGAACTAGGTGATTTGGGCCAATTCTGATCATGAGCCAATTTTACAAAAGACCTTTAGCTGTTTTGAGAGGTTTGTTGTGAAAACTGTTGTTCTGAGCTTTAAATCAGTGTTTTTTCTAATGTTCACTCAGATGGGCAACATGTCGACAGATTAACCACATTTATTTCTACACTCTTAAATCTGCTGGGGTGAAAAGAAACCAAACTGGATTACTGTGGTAACCAGAGCTGGATCTATAAAAACGGATACATTTAATCCCACCAGAACCATATGGGCGATTTCACCACTCATGTATGGGTTTAAATGAATAAAAGGAATCCATTATTTAAAAGATGAGTACAAATACTTTAAATTCTGTTATTTTATTGGCATTTGAGATAATTAGATAACATATTAGTTCACAAATAATATCCGAAACCATCCAAGTTTTCCTTCAGTTAATGAAAGTATAAAATACCTTCATGTGTATTTTTGAGGTCACGACTTTAGAGAACATCCTTACTGATGATCCTCCAAAGGTAAAACTCAAATGTTGTGATTCCATGAACTCACCATAGCTAAGCTAACGTCACTAGCACCAGTGGAGGTTTTTACTTTCACAAGCATAACAATCCTAATATATAGAAAAACTAAGTATTATTGTATTAACTCATTCACTGCCAGCATTTTTCAGCGTTTTTACTGTTTAAGAGTCACAGAATGTTGCGCGCTAGGATGATGTCGATGCCAAAACAACCAAAACAACCAAAACAAAGCAGACTCACCTCTTACATCAGGAAGAATCCACGCGTTTCGAGCGTTATCCATTCTTTCATAATCCGTTGTCGAATTGTGATCGGCAGAAGCTTTTCCGGTTCGCGCCTCACCTTTTTTTTTTACAGCAGCGACCCAAAACGATCTCTTAACACATGGATTTTCTGCTTCCTGATCACGTGACGTGTGCGGATGAAGATCAGCTTTAGAGCTCAGACGTTTGTTCTCACGGTGCGGGGGCTCGTTCCGACGCCTACACAGTAAAAATATGCAAATGATGACTTTTGCAGTCACTGGCATTGAATCAGTAATGATAAGAATCGTTCGGCCGGTATTGACCTTCAAAACCAGAATCGGTGCTAGTCTAGGAACCAGAGATGGGAATTGTGGCATCAAGTTATCTCCATGCCGTGTTTTTCTTCAGCTCAGCAACCAAATCAGGTGATTTCAATCAGCACGGTGAGTGAACCGGGTTCAGCTGCTGAGCAGAACCAAAACATGACATGGAGATGACTTGTTGATGCTGGAATTCCCATCTCTGTCAGAAAAGGTGGGATCCTAAAAGGAAATCCAACATTTTTTTTACCACAACTATTATAAAACATCTAGAAAAACTATATTAGCAGTTATTTACTGTCATGAAGCTCTTTTTATAGCAACGTCCATGATTAACAGAGTCACGCGTCCCCAGTGGTGTTTCTCTGGGTGAACTGTTAGAAGTCTGGAGGCTCATGTGGAAGTCTACCATCACATCCCACACAGCAGCGTTGCTTTGATGACCAACTGAGAATAAAAAGGGTTCAAGAGACCTAAAGCTGATTAGGTTACGTTGTGTTTACACTACCTAAACGTATTTAGTCCTGTTTGCCATCTTGTGTCTGATGGCTGCCACCAAGTCGCTCGGCGCTCCACACTCAGGCCTGTCACTCAGTCTCCTGTCACAGCAGGGTAAGGGGGGGGGGGGGGGGGGGGGGGACTGGCTGCCAGGCAGAAAACACCTCCTGCTCTCCAGCGGAGATCTGCTTAGAGATGGAGTGGCGCCCTGATTTCTGAGCGGGAATGAAACGTTGAGCAGGAGGAACACTTGTGTGGTTTTTGTCTCTCTCGTCTCACATCATGGCCTCCAGGAGTTTACGTGACTTTTCTTATTCTTGTAGATAGTCAACATGACGCTAATTTCAAATGTAAACAAGACGAGAGGCCTCCTGGTAAATAAAACCACTCACCTGATTCCCAGTTGATCGGTCGGAGCTTCAAACCCACATAAAGGAACCGCTGCCAGTCAACACGGCCGTTATTACAGCTTAAGAGCGTTACGTAACATCGCTTCGAAGGCGCTTATTAACAGGCATTACCGAGGCACAGCAATCAGTGAGGGATGGTTGTGAAACAGATCTAAACACCACTGGTGTGGGTTACAGTAACGTTCATCAGTGATGCCACAGAGTGGGATGCTTCTGACAGTCAGGGTTTCATTTGACTGAGAAGACGACACGATTCTGAACCCGATGACTTCAGGTGACTGGCTGGAGCACAAAGACAAATCCACTTTGGAAGGATTCAAATGACAGGATAAAAGAACGCAACATAAAAAAACCGAACTGCTTCTGACTAATCCCAACCGGAGCAAACAAACCCTTCTATGGTTTAGCTGAGACCAGTTTTATACGCTGATCCCACACCTGTACACGTAACCCGTGTGACAACAGGAAGTAGGCTAAACGATCTCAAAATCAACACATCACTGGTTGCTTCCGCCTTGCTTCCAACAGCTTTTTCCAGGTCCCTTCTTTTCTGAGTCGGAACATTTGTGCAAAACTCTCCTTTTGTTCTGCCATGTGGACCTTCACTGCCTCAGACACTCCAAACATAAAAAGGGAATTATGTGCCTAAAACAAGCAGTTTCTAAATGTCCTCTTTTGTGATGTCATAAACAAGTAGATTAGCATAGACCCACCTCTCACAGGCAAGAGAGAGCTGCTGCTGGAAGAGCAGAGGCTCTACTCTAAGCCCTGCCCAGATATCAGAGCTTCTCAGCTTATAGCAGTCTGAGCTGGTAAGGGGTAGGCGTGGCTAGCTCCAGCTACTTAAAGTGTCAGAGCCCTGACACGACTCATTCTGGGAGGTACTGAAACTGTCAAGAATAAAGCTGCTGAAATCCCTTCATGTGAGATGGACTTGGTGCAGTAAACTTCATGAACATGTTTGGTATCAACCATCGAACAAACACAACATCGAAATGTGTCTCTTTTAACATCACTACCATGTTCTTCATTGTTCTGAAATGTTGTGTTTGTGCCATGCTTATCCTGTTACACATTTACCCAAAAGTGTGTGTGGTCAGACATGGAGGTGGTGGCGTGATGGTCTGGGGCTGCTCTGTTGCTTCAGGACCTGGACCACTTGCTGTAACAGATGAAACCATTAAGGAGAACATCTGACCTTTGACCTTATACAGGTGGTTCCTGCTAGAAAACCCTCTGATTTGAGTTTCAACTTTCTTAGATCGTTGTAAGAAACATGATTTTTTTCAGCTCCTCAGTCGTAAACCCAGTTGTGCTCCCAGGTGAGGACCTGTGATTTGGTGGAACACCGACAGGAAAAAAAGCTCCAGAGCTGTTTAAAAGAACCAAAGCCAGAAAACAGGAGTGACCCAGAAGTTATTTCTAGTACCTCTCAGAAACCACGACATTGTTTTGTTTTACTCTGAAGCAGGCTAGAGGCTAAAGTGCAGCTAACATTGCTAATGGAGAATTACAAGAAATTAGTCGGCTCTACAAAAATGTGAAGCTACTTTTTCAGTTACCAACAACTCCGTGTTACAAAGAAATGTGTGCATGAGGTGAATAATGAGTCAACCGTGGCATTTTTACTTTCTTTAATGAGTCGTTTAGAACTATAACAGCAAGCTAACAGCAAGACGGCAAACAACTACACTTCCTCTAATGCAGACACATATTACCGTAATAAGTGTAGTAAGTGCTCCCACCATAAAACACCCAAAAGTGCGAAAACCTGATAAGACAAGGTATTTATTTATTAATCAATTTACTGCGTATGACTTGTTATGGCTCATCTAGAATCTTCTGGTGCTGATCTGTAACTGGGAACAACTCCGAAACTACGGAACGACAGTAAGAAAGTTACTTTTGTTTATGAAAATGGCCTGCAGTACCCAAATATGACCACCAGATGCCATGGTTACTTCACAATGCACCTTTAAACACAACCAATTATTGGATTTCCGTAAGTGTTTGACTAGTTGTCATCTAATCTAACCAATGCTTCAAGAATAACAGTCATTAGGTAACAAACCAAGATTATTCTGGAAACTGAATAAATTGGTGTAGAATCTCTGCAGGATGAAGGAGAGGTTTAATGGTGATGGAAAAACAAACAATTCTGATTCACCCAATTTAACGCCAAATTAACACGTTTATTCAGCTGAATGCAGTTATTTCACTGTGCAACTCTAATTAAGCAACAAATGAACTTCTAAGAAGACGCAACACCATAATGAGATTTACGGATGAAATTCCTCTGGATGAAACGTTCGTGTCCAACAAGTCTTCAGGCAGAACTTTGATTCAGAATCATATTTTATTTCATTTATCTCTCCAAACGATCCTCTGATCTCTCGCCTGCCTCCTTCCAGCATGCAGAATCGCTAAATGTCACATGACCTGTCAGTAATTAAAGCACGTGTTGCAAATGAGTCAGCTTCCAACAAACC